CCCGCCCGGTATGTATATATCTATCCTTCTCTATCCTTTCTCTTTTTTCCTCAAATAGCAATTGACAATAGGATGTTTTTTATGCTTTTTTAGGTCTTCGCGAGAACGAAGTCGGACCCCATCTATCAAAAGCAGGAAAAGTGCAAGTGCCAGTATCAAGAATGTTCCATTACAACTCAACATCGACGGAGGGGCTGGGAATATGCAAGGGGAAGGACTCGATCGGGCCTCCGTATTTCCAGGAGACGTGGTACGTCTATGATCTATAATTGTCCCGCTGACAAAAGGCCCCGACTGACTGACGTTCTCTTGTGTTCACCAAGCCACGCCTATGGCAAGAAGGCGATACGTATAGGTTCTCGCCCAAGAGACGAGGAGATCCATGGGAGGAAAGTATGAAGCGCGTAGATCTGTATGATGATGAGATGTGTCGAGGATGGAAGGAGGATGTCGATACACTGTTAGTCTTCGTAAGTTTGGGTCTCTTCGCTTCGTCTCTGATGCAATTGCTGAGTTAGTTCCTCGTTACATACTCACTCGACCGTCTCATAACTCAAGGCCGGACTTTTCTCGGCTGCAGTGACCGCGTTCATAATCGAAAGCTACAAATGGCTACAGCCCAACAACTTCAATAACTCGGATCTGGTTTTGCAGGTGCTTCAGCAGTTTACGTCGCAATCTACCAATACCACGCATGTGCAACTTTCCTCGACGAGTACCTCGAACAATTTCAACTCTGCCTCGGCCGTCCGTATCAACTCGGTATGGTTCCTTAGCCTCATACTCAGTCTATCCACTGTTTTGCTCGGGATCCTTTGTAAACAGTGGCTTCGGGAACACCGACGCGACACGCCTTCCTCTTCCTCAAAAGAAGCTTTGGAGCTTCGCCAACTCCGTTTCGAGAGTCTAGAGAGATGGGGCATCCCCGCGTTACTTGCTTCCCTTCCCCTTTTCCTCCAGGTCTCCTTGGTCCTTTTCTTCTATGGTATCCTCGACCTCCTCTGGTCACTTAACTTCATCGTAGCTGCGGTCTGCACGGCCGCCACTGCCATCAGTGTCTCGATTCCCTTACTCACCACTATTCTCCCGACATATTATCTCTTCAAGTTCCCGGCTTTCATCGATGAAGACGAAGTCCATATCTGTCCGTACAAGTCACCGCAAGCATGGCTCTTCTACAAACTCGCGACGTTCCTAACCCTTGGTAAACACGACCCGTTCCAGAGTTGGGCTTCGAGTGACTTGTTCCTACTCCGTAATCACTCCCCTCTCAAACGAATGTCCCTCCACAGCGATGTCCTCAAACGAGGTCTGCGGTGGATGGTCAAAACCTTCTGCGACAGCAGTGTCATGGCCAACCACATGTTTCACTGTTTCCAGAACCTCCCTGTCGAGGTGGCGGCGTTCGCTACAGGTAGAGAAGGCGAACTCTCGCGAGATGCGATTTATTATCATTTTTTCAAACACTCAGCCTGGGATCAGGATCTTGGCAAGTTTCTTGCGGAGCTGTTTCTCCACCAAGTCAACTCTCCCAACCACGGTGCTCGTGGAATCGGAGATGCGATCAAGTCGTTTTGGAATTTGGCGGTTCTTGATTTCATTGGGGACAATGGTATGCCCTCTTCCTTTTCGTGCGTTTGCATGAGCCAACGTTCTTGTGTCTGACCACTGTTCCGGACTGTTTAGGACAAGATCCACAACTCCATACCGAATTCCTGCAACAGATAATCGCTACCATCCGGTGCTACTGCGCCGAAGACCGTATCACCCTGTTTGACATGAACCCGCTCATGATCGTGTGCAGAGAGCTCTGGAGACACCCTGATCCGACGATCCGACAACAAAGTGTTGCTATCGTCGATGATTTCGAAGCCTGGATCGCTCGTACGGACGAAGAACTTCAGCGAGAGTTCATCCCTAGCTTCGCGTCGTCCATCACGGACAGTATCTACTCGGAAGACGAACGGACGCCAAGCTCGGCTCTTATTCTTTCTGAGAAAGGAAGGGCGTTCATCAAGCTCTTGGATAGGCATTTGAGCGCGCAGAATATTGATTTGGACAAGTATTCGTTACAGGAGGTGCCTATGTCGTGGCAGGAGGCCAAGGCGAAGGTGCTTAGACTTTCGGGGTTATCTCCTGATTTCTTTGAGGATGTTGGTTTTGATTCACAGAGTCCTGCACAGAATATGACAGGCGATTCGCTGGTTGCTAGTGATTCACATACAGTAGCAGTAGGGTAATTGAATGTACTTAAATTTTGGATACTTGGTACTTACATTAGATTTTGATGGGCGTCAATGCGGCGTTTTGGTAATCGAGGGGGGTTTTTTTTTTCAATTGTTTGATGGCCACTCAGAGTCATTCTCTTCCTTCTCAAACAACTCCCATGAAGAAACTGAGGGGTCGCAGTTTCGTCGTTGAACGTCAGGTGCTAGTGTGAAGTTTGTCTTACACACTCGTCGTTCAATTTGCTTCCCGGAGAGTCTGACGTTCACTGCCCAAACTACAACGAGACAATGTTTACATTGAAATCCCTGCTCCTTGTCTACCTAGCAGTCGCGTCTTGGAACAGCTTGAACAACAATGTCACATTGAAGGAAACCTCACCAAAATATTGTCTAGTCCGACAGAACACCTTATCCAACCTCATCAGCTGCCTCGACGCGTTCACCGTATCTCGAAATTTCTACGATGCCTCTTCCTACGCAGCCGCTCAGCCCACGAACGGGGAGATCTCCGCTTGGAAAACCATTATTCGGTCGATGCTGGATACCAACTCCTGCGATTGCTCTGATATCAGGGTACCTTTGGTGCTTGCACACCTCTATGCGGTTACGATGTTCTTGGACACCGATACCAGCCGGAAGTTCTGTGTCCTCTCAGAGATCACCACAAGCGTGCACAGGAACTACACGAAAGGATGGGGCCTGATGATCGTACCAGCCTCAGCCAAACACATTTCCCGTCCTCTCCATATTTCAGCCCCTCATCCACAGGCCGACATCAATACCCCGCAGCAGGCTGGAGCGATTTTCTCGCTTGTTGGTGCGCACAGTCTGCTTATCTCTGGCAGATTCCGGTCAGCGTACGCGGTGGGGACGGATTGCGTACTTCCTGGCAGATCGCAAAAGCGATATTTCAAGACAGATCCAACACATGATATCGTATGTTCAATGATCGATTCAACTTGGATATAACACGGTTTTTCTTACCAAACTACATTTTCTCATAGGACGAACCTTTCTCTGTTGCCAATCAAGTGATCCGAAATTGGCAGAACGCGAATGGTGGATGCCCTTCGCAAAGTTGTGCATATGTCCAACTCCATGGAAAAGGTGCTTCTTCTTGCGCAGCGGATACGATATTCATCTCAAGCGGTCTTGGTTAGCTTTTAATCAACTTCCCTGTCTGATCTTCTCTTCATCTGATATATCATATCTCATATCACGCTAGGAACTTCTCCCTCGTCTCTCTCATGGTATCAAAATACCACTCTCGACATACCTGCCCGCCGACTCCGCGATGAAGCAAGATCGGTCTTCCCGTCATGGACCTCCTCCCTTCCTTCCGACAATCCAAAGTGTTCACTGACCGCGACGGGTAACGTCTTCGGTCGATTGGTGAACGGTGTGCCTGAAACGGACGTCTGCGTATCCGAGGCGAGTGCGCTTACTGCCACGGCAGAATTCATTCATATCGAGCAGGCGATCGTGGCTAGACAGAGCAACGTGTACGAGAAGTGGGGCGAGGTTTTTAGGCGCGTTTTTCGGACTAGCTGTACGGGACGAACGGTGGAGGATAGTAAGACGGGGCTTTGCGTGTAATGTATAATCAGAGCGACAGCAATTGATATGAGATATAAATTGGTGCGCATATATACTCAAACAATTGAAGAAACCCAAACGCACGTATGATTATTTTCATTCTTCCATTCGCCCTTTCAGAGGCGTTATATCGAACGTCTCCCAAAACTCCCTCGAGTCCAACACACGTCCCAAAGCGTCGTTGCTCCGAGGGAGTACACGTACACCAGTCTCGCGCATGAGTTCCTGGACCCAACCTGCCTGTGGTCCACGGTCCTCAGAAGTACCGTGACTGCCATCTAATGGACCAGAACCCCAGGCAGACGCAAGATCCCACCAGTCGTAGACACGTCCATCCGTCAGGAGCCAACGCTGGCCGGATGCTTTGGAGAAGTTGTTATGGACAGCGATGATGGCTTGGGCGACGTCTATGCCATGGATCATGTGTATACTCCCCTGAAGATGTCATCTGAGCGTTCTGCACCATCAAAACCAGAGAATGACATTGCGTACTTTGTTTTTGAGAACTTCCTTCGTCGGCGCCACCCTTCCAACCCATTTCTTCATCGATCTGTCTCCTCCGTAGAGACCAGCAAGATTCAAAACAGTCGTCGGTGTACCGGGAGACAAGCCCAACAGCTCATCTTCTGCATTCGCACGTTCATCAGCGTTGTACGAGCTGTGTCTGTCGTACCATCTGTTTTCCGCTGGTTTGACTACTGGAGGTCCTGAGTCACTTTTACGTTGTCGTCGAGAACCTTGTTCCTATCACATCCACCAGATCATCGTCAGTACAGACGAATCATAAGAGGAAAAGAATTCGTATACTCACACCCCAGATGCTCGTTGCACCAAGTTGGATAAAGGCCGGATTCAGCTTTTCATCAGCACGAGTGGTTTTGTATAACCGAACCAGTCTTTCTGAACCTCCAGAGGCAGTTATAGGAAACGAGATGAGCACGGTTTTCGCATCTGGAAGAATGCTGAAAGGTGTGGCATCATCGGAGTTCTGGTCAAAGAGGAATTTTATGGTATCGTTGGTGCCGGTGCGCGTGGTCGTCGCGAAAGATAGGCCGCGTCGAAGGCAAAGTGGAACTAGGAAGCCCGAAGTCCATCCAGCTCCTAGAATTAAAAGATCCAACGACGAAGACAACATCAAAAATGATGGATAAGCATGTAGATGCTTTCAGCAAAAGATTCCAATGCGGGGAATCGAACCCCGGGCTGCTGTGATCAGACAAAGGCACCCAAGCTCTTCCTGTTTTGTACAAGCAGGAAGAGCTTGGAGACCCGAGGTGTGAAAGACAGCAATGTTAGCCACTACACCACATTGGATACTTTCACCACTGGCACATAAGAAACATATCAGATATTTGTTGCCGTGTTTCAATGAACTTCTCAGATCTCTCCATTTAATAATCATAGAATCCTTTGCCACTCTTCTTCCCTAGCCAGCCAGCATCAACCATACGTCCTAATAGTATACTAGGGCGATACTTTGAATCATGTGTACCTTCATAGAGTGTTTCTTGAATTGCAAGGCAGGTATCCAAGCCAATACTGTGACGAGATGAGCAAAGATCGATAACCAAGGGAAGGGCAACATAGTACTCACAAATCGGCTAGTGAACGGAGACAGAATCATCAATCATCAATCCAAGAACATTTTGCTATAATACCGATCTCACCTAGTTGCAATGGTCCCATGGGATGTCCCATCCCCAATCGGAGGGTCTTGTCGATGTCATCTCTTGTTGCAGTTCCCTGAGATCGCATTAGACATGAACTGGCAGTGAACATCAAGGTGAACATACGGATTCCAAACACATGATGGCCTATTGAACCAGTTGAGAAATGAGCCGCAAGCAACACGAACACAATACCCACCTCATTGATAAAGGGCATTAGCAACGCATTCGAGACGAATCCAGGAACGTCTTTCGAAGTTGTTACTTCTATCATCCAGCACAGTGCTCAATTTCCGACGCGCCGACAAGGATATGAGTCCATGTTCACCTTTTCCACACGCAACTGCGAACGCTTTAGCTCGCTCAAGTGTGGCCTCGGATGTCTGCAGCCCTGGTATCACTTCACATAATTTCTTTCGAAAAGCCAATTAAGAATCCGGAACTACGAAAGGTTCCATAGAACAAATACTCACCATAACCGGAACCGGATTAAAGAAATGGACACCAACCACCCGACCCGCGCAGCTCTTCCCTTCTGCACTTGCCCTGCTCACACCCGGACCCAGTCCATCCACCGCAGCTCCAGCCAGCTTCGTGATGGATATACTACTCGTATTACTCGCCAAGACCGCATCCTTCGATAGACTCTGCGCCAACGCACGAAATATACCTTCCTTGATCGACAACCGCTCCGAAGCAGCCTCAACGACCATGTCCGTCCCGCGCTCGGCCAGCTCTCGTGCCCAGTTGAGTTCATCCAAGGATGAAGATGAAGATGTTGATGATATCGAGACGATTCGCGTTCTGGCAGCCTTGGCGTCATCCTCGCTGATTTTACCCTTGGACACGTCTTTCGCGAGGAGTTTGTCCATGAACCCGAGTCCTTTGGAGATTTGTGATGCGTCCTGGTCGTAGAGAATGACAGGGATCTTCGCGCGTAAGGAGGCTACAAGGGCTATTCCTATGCCCATCTGGCCTGCGCCAATGACAGATAGAGTACGTGGAAGAGCCATGAATTCGATGTTATGGTCAAAGTGCAAGGAGATCCGTGCACGTGAAATCAGCGTCGATTATTATGATTCGGCGCTTATCATAGAAGAGATTAGATTAGGGTTGGAAAATCAAGAAGCGCCTTGCCTCGCCTTGCTTGTTATCTTTCGTGACTCCTACATCGATGTTTCGACAATCCAATAGACCTCTTTTCACCCAATATGCATGCTAGACACCCCTAGAAATGTGAATGCGACCCATGGGACTTGAAGACTACACAAAGTTTCCGGCGAAAAGCAACACAGATCAGTGCTCTTGGTTTTGGTAAGGAACCAGCATCACGATTCTTTCACATACCAGCTTGAAACATCGCTCAAAGGTATTTGTTGCATCCATATTTGATACTACCCTACTACCCATCTCAATACTGTATTCAGAGTCCCTGAAGAGACAATGTCATTTGGTTTGGATCCAGGCTGGCCCGAAGGAAACGAATCTGGGTTGAATAACTTTCAAGTTGATCATGAACCAGGAAGTATGGTCTCCGGATTCCTAAGTAAAGGAAGGAGCTCCTGATATTCTTCTAGCTCCTTCTGAATGCAACGAACTACACCCCGACGACAACAAAACTGAAATCACCCCAACTTGAAGTGGAATGGCCCGTTGTGAAACCGTGCATTTCAAAGACTACGACGAAATGCACGCTACACAGTCAACAAATGTCAATTCTTGAGCTGTTATTCCATTGACTCAATGACAGAATCTGATGTCCTCCCTAACAGTTCAAGAAAGACAGCCAATCCCTGGACCTCGGTGGCCCGGGAGTGTTCAGGTAATACAGTGTAATCATTCCTAGTATTCGTGTTCTAACTTCTGACTTTCGAATGAGGAAAAGCTCCTAAGGTGCTAAGCCTTTGTGTATCAGCAGATAAGAACAAGCTATCATCATTTGGCACTGCCAAAGGTAAGTTATCCAGTCATTTTCAGGTGTGCAGAATCTTCCAATGGATATTCATCTGCAATGGTGCTGGGACTGCTGGCGGACAAGTTGTCGGATGAGTACGCAGGATATCTATCATCACTCAATGAGCAGCACAATTGGATAACAATCATGCCCTTTAGTATAGCCATTTTTGAGATGTTGGATCAAATTGCGGGTAAGTCATTCATGCCCAAGGAATCAGGATGATTTGGACATTTGCAGCTCAACACAGCCCAGGCCTCCATTATAACTCTACTTCAATGCTCAAGCTTTATTGTCGCTATCGGGGGAGGTTTTGGAGAGTTTCAGAGTCATATGGAATTTGCCATCGATTGGGGTGCAAAAGGGTGAAAGCCGTATACAGTTGAGTGATTTACAGGATTGGAGGGATATTCTTTGAATAAGAAATAATTCATTATGATAGACTGAGTAGCCCCGAGCCAATCCATCAATCCATCGGCCTCGCATGAACGACAAGCAGGGATATCAAGTTGATCTTGAGGAAACCATCGATAATCACCATCGCAAGTGAGTTTATGCTGATGCAGATGAAACTACATACAACGGCTGATAGCGAATTGAATCCAACATCATAAAGGCGAGCGGTTTTTTGCACTTTTCGCTCCACTTTTTTGTGGATCGAAAAACTCTCTCTTTTGCTGGTCAAAGAGAGAACTCGGTTAATTTTCTGGCTCGTACGTCTCAATTCTCTGATGACCCGCCGCACCTTGCAGGTATCTGATTTACCTTTCAGATACTACCGTTACTTTGCCTCTTTCTAGGGCATTCACCATTCTGTTGGAATTACCTGAATATTCGACGTTCCCCATCGCGTTCGGTCTCTGCTTCTATAACACCAACGCATTATTCCCGATTCGAATTTCCGAGTCTCCCTTCCAGCCCACATCACACTCCCTGATCCACTCATGCACTTTCCTATTGCATACCCGGCGATTGCTATCCTCGCCCTTCTACCGACTGTGGCCTCAATACCCGGAGGTTCAGTGCCCTCAATACCCGTGGTCTCAGTGCCCTCACTGTTACGAGCTGTTGGGGTGAGGAGCAATTCACTAAGACTCCTGACTTGAAAGATCATTTTCTCATTCTAATAAACCTAGATGCGCACTGCCCAACAGAACAGGGCAACTACTTGGGATTGCTTAATCCATCTCCAAGCATATATGCGCATGGAGCCCGACGAAGCATTCGAGATCGAGTTTCGCCCTTTAGAATCAGACACCGAATGGACTGCACCCAGGAACCCAGCAGCGACTGAGGCCGCCAGAGAATTCGTGGAGAGTCAGTTGAAAGAGCAGCTTCATGGTGTCGTCCCCCGGCTTGAGTTCAAGGAAGAAAATGCCTACAAACTCGCCACACTCTTGAATACGCTCTATTTCACCTTGAGATCTACTCGTTTTTGGCAGATGTCATACTACGTCGCGGTCTCGACTGAATTGGTGAATGGCCGTCTAGTTATGATCATGTGGAAGAAACCGGAACGAGTATTCGATCACCCAGAATTTAGATCACAAGAAGGACGCGACGGTTACCCATTTCATGTTGAGGTTCAAGAGATGCGACAGCTGTTGATTCAGGAATCCGGCAATGGCTTGCACGCGTCACCCAGTGGCCACTCGGGGACGCAGGCGGCAGGATAGAGCATTGCCACTGGTACATGATCTTATGTACATGATCTGAGTAAACAGTCTTGTTCCGTATATCAATGACTTTGAAGAGCAATGAGTACTCATCGACAACTTTGTGTCGGGTCGAAGATGCCATTGTTCGACGTTGTGGTCAAAGTCGGAGATCCGTGCACACATGAAATTAACGGTGTAATACTACCGGAAATTGCCGGTATCCGTTTCTGTGTTAATCGTGAACAACAATTACTATGCCCTCTTCTACACAATCTGAACTTGACTCTGGTGTAGGCCAAAACCCTCCAGCTACCAACGCGCTCTATGTGGGAAATCTTACCATGTCCCCTCCACTGGCAACAGGTAGCACCAATCCGCCTGATATCTTGGAAGAAAGCTTGCGGGAGCTGTTCAGGACGAGAGATGGGTACCAGAAGCTGACTTTCAGGCAGAAAGTGGCTGGATCGATGTGTTCCGTCGAGGTAACATAGCGTTATATATAATACTAAAACATCTCTTATTTATTAATCATCCCTCTCTAGTTCACAGACGTCGAAGCCGCGACGAAAGCCTTGGAAGAGCTTGACGGAAACACGCTGAATGGTCTAATCAATGGTGGCATTCGTCTCTCGTACAATTAACTAGAAATAAGCTGTATAATAATTAAACAACTATGGCCATGGCCACCATCCATTTAAACATGTTTAAACCATTCTAACCCCCAGAGAATGGGCATCAAACCTGTGCTCAGTTCCTATAATGTACATGTTTGTTGATAAAACAGACTTTTGAACAATATACATGCTGATTAAACAGGATGATTTGCTTAAACAAGATTTCATGTTTAAATGGAACTGATATTTCAAAAAGAATGCTTTAAACAACATAGACTAGGATTAAACAGGAGTTTTAAACATAGCAACATGTTTAAAGTAGACGATGTGTTTAAACAAGCCAATCTTGAAACAACCAAGTAAGAGACATGAGGCCTGAGGACACACCTTCACCAGTTCTTTCCTCCTCTCTACAGTGTAC